AATTTTTACATTTATCATTTACTTTTTATTTTCAAAAAAAGGAGGAAATCCTAATCTCGAGTATGTCTTGTTTAGGTATCCTTTGCTAATCAATGACTAACCAATCTCAAAATTCTACACTACCCCCGAATTCCATTCAAGAAATCCAAGATCCAATACCACAAACACTTGCCAGAGGACTTCAATTGATGTTGAAAATGGGTTATGTTTCAGGAACTGGTTTAGGACGGAATGGCAAAGGCATCAGGCACCCAATCCCAATAATTGATAAGCAAAATCGTCACGGTTTGGGTTTCAATGAGAAAATGAGTTCTAAAGCTATGAAAAGGAAGTCTCTCACTTTGAAAGGGCAATTTGTGTTGCAAAACAACACTGAGCCATTTTTTGAGTTTTTTGAACCTTGGTGTGACTTGGTGTAGACACCCAATTTTGTCTCCCCAAAAACCAAACCCGGTGATGAGTACCTTTCGCGTCGAATCATAATCGAATGAAGTGAAAGTGTGGAAAGTCTAGTGTTGCGGATAGTTTTAATTTCTTTTCTCTTCTCTCTATTTTTGAAAACTTATTTTAAGAAAACAGCCAATCCAGTTTGGTTGGTCCATGATATGGGTCCAATAGTAGTGTAGTTGGATGGGGCTTGACAAGAGATTTCCAACGATATATTATAAGCCCAATTCCGATGAATATTGAGGGAGTTATGGCCAATTTACTAAACTGGGCCCGGTTTGAGCCTTATGTGCGGCCCAATGATCTAGAGGAAGGCCTAATATGATTTATCATTCCTAATGCAATTAGGAATGGTTTTAGTCTTCTAGATTCTTCTAGAAGGTTCTTTTCATTCCTAATTCAATTAGCATTGATAAATTAACTTTTGTTGACTTTTCAGAGTTTTAATTAAAATCAAAGAACATTTTTGAGGAAAAGATACGATTTTATCCTCCTGTATGGCAAAATTTATCTGATTTTCGAAAACGCGTCAAAAACAGGACTAGCGCTGGCGTTGGCGCCTGGCGCCAATTAGCCAGTGTTGGCGCCAGCTCTGTTTTAGGTGCGCCAATGCTTTATTTTGTTATTTTATCTTTTTGGCTAATTTTCTCTATAAATAACGTATTAAAAACTCCGTTTTCATTCATCAACAACCAGTTTTAATCTATATTCACCTACAACCAGTTTTTTTAATTCTCATTCTCCTTAATCATTCACCATCTCTTATTTTCTCTCTTCTTCTAAATTAGCTTTTTACATACAAAATTCCGCATTCACAAGATCTAGAAACACCTAGCCATATTCGAAGTTGCCTTCGCCCTAGACGTGAAAGGTTTAATTTCTGAGGGTTTGGTCCCAAATCTCTCTTTCGATTATTTAATTTAATTGTTTGTTTATTATTTTCCTTGAAGTTACTAACGTGTGTATTTTGTTATTAGAAAGAGGTATGAGGCATCAAAGTAAGTACTTTAATGATTTTTATTGATGTTATGATGTAGAAATCATGTTTAAATTGTTATTATGATATTCCTAGTATCATGTCTAAGATAATTTTAATATTAAATATGATTTTTTCGATGCTTCCTATGTTCTTCCTAATATTTATGATCGTTAGTATCATGTTAGGGTTAAGATTTGATTTTTATTGCTTAGTGACATGCTAGGGTTTGTTATTAATCTTGTCAGTATCATGCCTAGGATCTTGCTATTTTTATTATGCTTTAACATGATTCATAATTGTTATGATTATGAATATAATTTTATCATTGCTATGATTATTATAATTTATGATGGTTATGATTGTTATTATGATGATTATTGTTTTGATTATTATTTTAATCACGATTATTTTTAGGAAATTTTGATTTTTACCACCTTCAAATAACCACTTAATTGAATTTACCACCTCCAAAAAAAAAGATTTACTTTACCACCACCAAAATTTCCAAAAAATCGATTTTACCACCAACTACCAAATTCCGTCCATGAATCCGTTAGTAGGGCCCACATTTTTGACGTTTCTTCTTCATCTTCCCCGATCTTCCATGTCAACCAACCAGCAACGAAATCAACTACCTCGGTTGGTCGGAATTTCGTGTGGGTTTCGCGTCTGGGTGGTGGTGGTTTCGAGTCGCGATGGTTTCGCGTCTGGCTGGCGTGGTTTCTGGTGGGTGGTGGTGGTTTTGAGTCGGGGTGGTTTCGCGTCTGGGTGGCGGTTGTTTCTGGTCTGGGTTTGGATGGTGGTGGGGTTGGTCGTAGCTGTTAGGTGGTGGCTAGGGTTTTGAGGTCGGAAATTCGTGGAAAGGGGTAGAAATCGGTGCAGCTGTGGTGTGCGGTGTGGTGGTAGCGTTAGGTGGTGGGTTGGTCGTAGCTATTAGGTGTTGACTAGGGTTTTGAGGTCGGAAATTGGTGGAAAGGGGGTCGAAATCGGCGCGGCTGTGGTGTGCGGTGCGGTGGTAGCGGTTAGGTGGTGGGGTTGGTCGTAGTTGTTAGCTGGTGGCTAGGGTTTTGAGGTTGAAATCGGTGCGGTGGCTGTGGGTCCCGACGGTGGCTGGTAGCGGTTAGGTGGTGGGGGCTGGTTGTAACGGTTAGGTGGTGGGGCTGGTCGTAGTCGGTCCGGCGGTGGGGGTCCCGACGGTGGTAGCAACCATCGGTTGCTTGATGGGGATTTTTTATTTTTTATTTTGTTTTTTTTATTTATTTTTTTAAAACTTAACCAATAATATGGCGACACGTGTGCAAGGTAGGCCCCACTAACGGATTTTTGGACGGAATCCGTTAGTTGGAGGTGATTGGTGGTAAAACTGATGTTTAATTTTTTTATGAGGTGGTAAAGTAAATGTTTTTTTTTTTGGAGGTGGTAAATTCGACAAAGTCGTTATTTGAAGGTGGTAAAAATCAAAATTTCCTTATTTTTATTATAACTTTATAATTATTATTATTATTATTATTATTATTATTATTATTATTATTATTATTATGTTGCTTGATGCTTATTTATTGTTATTGCTTAATCACGCCTTTTATGCATGTTTAAAGGGAATTTAATACTTGTAATCACGCTTAATAAGATAATTAATAATCTTGTTAGGGTTAATTTGATTATAATTTCAAGTGATCGCCAGTAATAGTTTTATTTGTGCATTAAATTCAACCAACATAGATAAACATATTTAGGGTTAATCCTATTGATTGTATGCTAGTCAAAAAGCACACATGAATACGATCAGAATAAAGTAGAGGCCTATTATTAGGGCAGGTTCAATCTCTTTCAGGTTGAATTTGTACCTTCATCCCCGAACCCTTAATTGGTTATAGACCTTATGAAGTTGACGATCTCTTGGATCGTTAAGGGGTGTAACCTTCACCCTGTGAACGGTTTACAAGTTCCTAAAACTTGTTGGCGACTCTTTTACTCTATCTTCTTCCCTTTTGGACGTCATCGTACTTTAGTGTATGATCACAGTGGGGTTCAAGCTAGGGGTTTAAAGCTTGAAATATTCCCTACACTTGGATAAAAAGAAAATTCTCCCTGGGTTAGAAATTTTCTTTGCAAAAGCAAGGAATGAAGAATCTATTAAGAAATGGTTCGATAAGAAACCAGTATTTAAGAAAGATATTGATTGGGCTGACCATCTAAAGCAAGGAGTTCTAAGAGGCTTGTTTTCACCAATTTTTGATTGTGAAGTCCGATTCGATCCCATTACACTTATCACTCCAATAAAAGTAGAACTTTAAAACAATATCCGTTCCGAAACTCAGAACAATTCCTTCCTTTCCCCGAACTATATCCTGTTCAATCCTCTACTTCAGATGGTTATGAAACCAATAGCTCATCATCTAGCCCATCATCTATCCATACATTTCCTGATATCTCATATCATGAAGATATCGAAGGAGTTGCTTGTAAACATATTTGCGTACAAGAAATTAATCTTGATGATGATGCATTTTCTAATAATGAACTTTTCAATGAACCTAAATCATGCGTGACACCCATGAAAGAGTCTATAACTGTAAACATAGGTATTGATAATGATGTAAAAGAAGTCAAGATAGGATCGTCCCCTTCCTTTGATGAACAAATGCATTCATTATTTTACTTAAAGAATATGTGGATGTGTTTGCATGGTCTTATGCTGATATGCCTGATGTCGATTGTAGTATTGTTGAACATCGTATACCACTCTACCCTGATAGCAAGACAAAGCAACAAAAGCTTCGTAGAATAAGACTAGAAGTTAGTCTCAAAGTTAAAGAAGAAATTCAAAAGCAACTTGATGCCAACTTCATCAACCCAATCAAGCATCTGGAATGGCTGGCGAATGTAGTGGAAGTGCCTAAAAAGGATGGAAGGGTCAGAGTGTGCATTAATTTCAGGGATTTAAATTCAACATCACCGAAAGACTATTTTCCATTACCCTACATTGATCTTCTAGTTTATAACACTGCCGGATACGCCATGTTCTCATTCATGGACGGATTCTCAGAGTACAATCAGATACTCATGTCAGAAGAGGACATGTCAAAAACTTCTTTTATTACCCCATGGGGAAACTTTTATAATAGAGCAATGCTCTTCGAATTAAAGAATGCTAGGATACCTATCAACGGGCTGCAACGACGATTTTGCATGATCTCATCCATGATATTGTGGAGGTCTATGTTGATGACATGATTGTCAAGATTCATGATCGTGAGACACACATTGATGATTTAAAATCATTTTTTGAAAGAATTAGGAAGTACAATCTGAGATTGAATTCTCAAAAATGTGTATTTGGAGTAACTTTGGGAAAACTTTTGGGCTTCGTTGTGAGTCAAGACGGAATTAAAGTCGACTCTAACAAGGTAAAGGCCATACAAGAGCTTCCTCCACTAAGAACGGAAAAGGAGATTCGGGGATTTCTTTGTGGAATTCAATATATTAGTAGGTTCATATCACAATTGACAACCCGATGTGAACCTATATTCAAGTTACTTAAGAAAAATGTTCCTACAAAATGGAATGACGAATGTCAGGCTTCATTCGATTCAATGAAAGAATACCTCTCCAATCCTCTAGTTTTAATGCCACCAAAGCTGGGGCAGCCCTTGATATTATATCTTACTATCACATAAACGACCACGGGAGCTCTCTTTGCACAATACTAAGACGGTACAAGGAAATAGCTATCTACTACCTCAACAAAAAGTTTCTGGAGTATGAAACTAGATACACTCCTTTGGAAAGAGCTTTCATTGCCCTTATTTATGCAACAAAGAAGCTTCGACACTATTTGCAAGCACATACTACTAATCTGGTTTCGAGGTTAGATCCAATCGAGTACAGTTTTGAGAAGACAATCTTGCGTGAAAGAATAGTAAGATGGCATGCGATATTGCAAAAGTATGTCAAAGGGAAGGCTATATATGAAGTTTTGGCTGATGGACCTATATCGGGAAATGAATTTGATGATGACTTTCCAGATGAACATATTTTCTGTCTTAGTACGTCACAATGGAAGATGTATTTCGACGAAGCCTTTAACGGGAGGGGCAATGGTGCAGGAGTATTATTGATTGATGGAGTACATATTCCCTTCACTGTGAAACTTAGTTTCCCAACAACGAATAACACAGCTAAATATGAAGCTTGTATATATGGAATCAAAGCAACATTAGCAGATGGTGCAAAAAATCTCACGGTATACGGTGATTCTTATCTCATAATTTCCTAGACTATTGGAGCTTAGAAAGTTTGGGACAAAAGGTTACAAATGTACACGCAGTATCTTCAACAATTTATCCCATTCTTTGAAGAAATAGAGTTCAAACATCTCCCTCGCGAGCAAAATAGCTTCACCGATGCTTTGGCAAATCTTGCGGTAAATTTGACTTGGGACAATGATGTGAAGGTACAGTCGGTAATGGTTGTAGAAAAAGAAATTACAGTGGTTAATTTTGAACCAACAACTGCCCTACTAACCTAAGAAGATAGTGAGGATGCTTGGTATTAAGAAGTATCTAATTGATGGAGAATATCCTGAAAGGAGTCACAAGAAGGATCAGTTGGCTATTCGAAGGCTAGCTTCTCATTTCACAATAATAAAAGGTTTGTTGTATCATAAAAGTTTCGATGGAAACTTGCAATTATGCATCAATGGGGAACACACACAAAGGATCATGGAAGAAGTACAAAAGGGAGAATGTGGGCCTCATATGAATGGACGAATGCTTGCTGGGAAGATTCTTTGATCAGGGTATTATTGGACCACCTTAGAAAGTGATTGCATCCATTTAGTACGAACATGCAAAACAAGTCAGCTATTTGCAAACCTTAATCATATGTCGCCTGTTAGCTTGAATAATTTTACTTTGCCATGGGCCTTTTCTAGCTGGGGCATAGATATCATTGGGAAAATACATCCGAAAGCTTCGAACGGGCATCAATATATGTTGGTTGCTGTTGATTATTTTTCGAAATGGGTGGAGGCATCATCATATTCAAAACTAGGGGCAAAATAAATTTCAAAATTTGTGATCAACAACATTATATTTCAGTATGGGGTACCTTTTGAAATTATCTCTAACAATGATTCACAATTTGGAGGCCAACTTAAAGAAACCCTTGAGAAGTACAAAATCAAGTATCACCAATATTCGCCATATCGTCCTTAGACCAATGGAGTTGTTGAAGCAGCTAACAAAAACGTCAAGACGATAATCACCAAGATGACAGACAATGCTAGAGAATGACCTAATAAACTTCCCTATGCACTATGGGGATGTAGAATTTCCATTAGAACACCAACTGGGACTACTCCATATTCTTGAGTATATGGAATGGATCCGCTTCTTCCTATCGAAACAGATATTCAATCGCTTCGCAAAATGAGTGAAAGCGAGATATTTGAAGAACAACGGTTTAAAGAACAATACGATGAGCTTTCTTTAGCAAGTGAATGAAGGTTACAAGCCCTTCACAACATTCAAATTTATCAAAAACGCATTGCTCGGGCTTTTAATAAAAAGGTCAGGGAAAGAAATATACAAGAAGGAGATTTGGTACTTAAGGAAAATCGAGCACCGATTCATTATCCACGTGGAAAGTTCAAGCCAAACTTGTCTGGTCCCTTCCTGGTCAAACATCTTACACCATCGGGAGCAGTAAAATTGATGGATCTTCATGGAAATGAGTTTGTTCATTTCACCAACCTTAATCAATTGAAAAATTATTATGCTTGATTGGTACAATGTCGTATTTGTGAGATTCGCAAAAAAAAAAAAAAAAAAAAAAAAAAAGGAAAAAAAAAACAGGAATCTTTTACTAGCTTTAGATAGGTATACGTGTATCATGTTAAAGTTTAGATTTCATTCATGTTTGCATTGCATGCTTAAGGGTCATGTAGAAATATTCATTATTATTAAAAAGATCATGACCAAGTCAATACTTAACAAAATATGATTACAACAAACAAACAGTTTTTTTTATTTATTCAAACATAACACAAACTCTCTCGCATTTTGGCGAGGTTACAGTTTTTTTTTTTTCTAAAAAAACATGAAAACAACAACCACATACACCATACCCGAAAAACCAATGCCTTCGGTTATGATTTCTTCTTTTGGAATTGAAAATGCACAAACAAGGGAAACACAAGTTCAAGTATTGAAATACAATAAGGAAATCCTTCTAAGGATTTATTCAATCATCACCCTCGAGGTCTTCCAACAACCATGTTGTGTAGGACGCGGTTGAACATTATCTTCAAGAACTGAAAATGATGGGAGCATTCGTGCAAATTGCCATACACGAGATGATGCCCTAAGAGCTTCAACATTACCAATTTCATAGGTGGTAAAAGGTACCATTGGGAGCTCATGGAGCTCTAGGAATCGTTAGTGTTTTCCTGCTTGTCTTAAGCATCTCCAAGAAAGATAGAAGGTGACGCAATTCAATCTCGGAAGTTGAACACCCCTGCGCCTCCTAGTGCTAATTGTTATAGAATCTATGTTAAGAAATGAAATGATCTATTCCACACCAGCTGTGGAAAAAAGGTCTGTCCATGCGCCATGGTTGCAACATTGACGGAATATAGGAAAAAAAAACACTCTCCCGAATATGTCTGGTTTGCTAAAGAATTTGAAAATGTGGTCTAGACAGCTTGAATTTCTCACATAACCAGAGTTGAAGCACGATTGGACACCCTTAAACAAAACCCCCTGGATTTTGTTTCAGATGGTCAAGCCCCATCATAAGTTCCCCTAGGATAAGAGGCCCTAAACGGTTCCCTGACTCAATCTGTGACAACAAAGAAAGGCATCGAACATGACAGGAAAATAATGATTCCTTGAGTAAAAAAAAGGCCGAGCAATAAAAGGATGCAAGCTCTTTCTTGGCACTTTTGGAAATTTTCATTGTTGGAAAATTCCCAATGAGGTAAAGAGAAAGTTTCAAGGAAATTCTCTAACATTAAAATGTCAAGCAAGCGATAATTGCTTTCCATATTTAATGGTATACCTAGAAAATCCCTCATGACCGCATCAGCTGCCCTTGGGTCAGCAGGTGTAATTACACGGCCTCGTTTATGAAGACCTAGTAAACCCTCCACTTCTTCCATAAGGGGAGTCATTTTTGTCTCTCCAAAGAGAAAAATATGGCGTTCTTCATCCTAAAATTCAACAGCAACATGAATCATATCATACCGAGGTTGAATAGATAGGAAAGGGATGATGGTTCTGGTAAAGACGCTTGTACAAGGGGAAAGGCGAGGTGGAGAAATATTTCTATCACCCCTTTTAATTGGAGCTTTCTAGCTCCACTGATTTCATTGATTTCTTAAAACATGGCATTCATTTTTTCTTAGAAAAGTTGAGGAGAGAAGAAATAAGGCTTAAAAAGAATGAAAGAAGAAGGAAGGAATTGATTTGGTGTAGAAAGAATGAATATCACCTCCCTTTTTATAGGGGTGGTGGTGAAAATGGTGTCAGGAAGAAAAGGTCGAAGGAGTTTACTTTTCCGAAAACTCAGTACAAACCACCTGATGTTTTTGCATCCGAAATCCATATACTATGTTCTTTCAAGAATGATTGTTATATTCCCTTAAGCTCGTGCAAATTGATTTTTTAAACATTCGTCTAAATTAAACTAGTGCAAGGATCAGCCAGTTTTTCAACTGCACCCAAGCCAACATTTGTGTTGCAATTGAGTGAGAATTTCACTCTATTTTTCAGCCACTTTTTCAACAGCACCCAAGCCAACATTTGTGTTGCAATTGAGTGAGAACTTCACTCTATTTTTCAGCCAGTTTTTCAACTGCACCCAAGCCAACATTTGTGTGCAATTGAGTGAGAATTTCACTCTATTTTTCAGCCACTTTTTCAACTGCACCTAAGCCAACATTTGTTGATGCAATTGAGTGAGAACTTCACTCTATTTTTCAGCCAGTTTTTCAACTGTACCCAAGCCAATGTTTAAATGAAAATCAATTGGGATTTTCCTTCCTTTTTATAGAAACATACATCAAAAGTTTGTGCCTTTTCTCAAACATTGATTATCGTTTTATTTAAACTCAATCAATGTGGGGCAATCTGTAGACACCAAATTTTGATCCTACTTTTGTAATTATCACTATTAATTATTATTATTTGCTAAATATTTTTATAAACTTAATAACGTTTTTTTTAATTATTTAAAACGAAGAAAACGAGTAATAATAATGATTTCTATTCATAATTTCCAAAATACATGTTACAATTTGTACTTCTAAACTACTAAACTACAAAATATTGAAGTACAGCTAACACCACATGCACTTTTACCCTACTTCACCGAAGAAATTTTCGGCCTTTACTTATGTATTAGCAAGTAAATTAATACAGCCATTAGGAGGACCACTAGACCCACAATAAACATGAAGTACACCCTTATCATCCTCATGTCTTCCTCAAAGGTGAAGACAGGCTGATCTTTCCGCTGGTTTTCTTGAAACATGATGGTCGAGTTTAAAGGTGGTTTTTGTTTGGTTTTTTCGAGTAAAAAGGAAGATGGAAGAAGATAATAATTAAGTGGTGATGCGTGGAGATTTTGGATAAGGGTAATTTCTTTTTATAGTAAAAAGTAGGTATTTTAGATCAAATTTTTATACGTATATGTATAATAATCGTATAGTATAAAGTGCAATATTGTTTGTCTCGCCAGGGGAATATATCATTTTCTTTATAAACAAGCATTGTTTACTCCTTTAGATTATAATAAGTATATTCGTATGTTAACTTAGATTGTTGGAGTATTTTTTTTTTTTAATCTTATCTAGTGATTTTTGCGATTTGTGCAATACCCTATTATATGACCAGTTTACCTATAAAGTCCGCTACGTACTCTAAAGACACATGCCCAACCAATGTAGGGAAATGACAAACATTCCCACACCTAAATAGGTACTACATGTTGTAGTGCAAAAGGGATCCCCTTTTATATACACTTGTTAAAATGTCATTGTCTTTTTTTATTCCACAGTTAATATTTGTTCCGATAAATACAAGTTTGGACCAAACCCGTCAATATTTATCTAGGTATTGTATGGACGAGAGTAAAAAAGGGATACGTATGTATAATTGTTTATAATTGTGTATGGTTTTTACGCGTAACTTTAGATGAATAGTATGTTTTGCGTTATTTTAGGATCATGTTGCTGCGAATTATCACCTTGCTGCATTCATTCATCCACTTCAATAG